GGAAAGGGGGGGAGGGAAATGCACGGGATTATGGTGATGGCACACGGGTGACTTGGTGATGGGAAACCCACGGGGATTACAATTGAGATGAAAAAAAAAATGTACAAAATGATGTAAAAATAAACTTTTGTAAAATAAAAATAAATAAATAAAATAAATGAAAAATAAATCAGCAAAAAAAAAAAAAGATCTTATTGTTTTTATTCAATTCATCCAGTGGGCAGCATCCAGTCTAGCAGATAGAAAAGGGCTCCAAAGAAATGTACAAAGTAAAAGATTTTCATAGGCAGAAGGGGACCAGAAAAAGGAAGTTATTCTAGGAAAAAAGTGGATTGATTAGGCAAGCTTACTTATCCTGTAGGGGGTGGTGGAATTTATCAGGAAGATTAAACAACTAGTACTCATCAACTGGTTCCTGATTGACTGGCTTAAGATTCCATTCTGGGAGAGACAGTGTGAGTCTCAGTTCTGTGAAGTGGGGCTAGTGTAAGTGACTCCATTTTTGGTCTGCTGTCTTGTTTTTAACAGGTTCTAACAACATAAAGATAAATTCCTCTTAACACTGGGGTGACAACCAGGTAGGAAAGATGGGCTTTCATTAAGACTGGCTAGTTGTATACCTGCAGGCAGAATCATAAACACCCCAAGTGCTTTACTGTGGCTAATTCTATTAACATGAGGCAATTTGAGGACATATCAGGCCAGTTCATGCCAAAGCCACAGGCGCTACTGAAGGTGTATATCAAGAATGCCTTGGCTGTTACTCAACAATATGTACTTTTCTGATTAGAAAAAAACCTAGTTGCTCATTGTGGGTGGTACAGAAAAGCATAGAGCAGATTTTTTTATATAGAAAAAACCCAAATTAGCTATATTCTCACTGATGTTCATCTTTTTGAATTTTTTATAAGTTTATTTTTACATCATTTTGTACATTTTTTTTTATCTCAATTGTAATTGATGTTCATCTTTTTAAAAAGTGATGCAGAGGCCCTCCCTGGTGGCGCAGCGGGTTAAAGCACAGCACTGAGAATCTAAAGCTGCTTCTGCATGAGTTCGATTCCT